CTGCACACGTTCCTTGGAGCAACGTATACAATGATCACTCGTCCACAACCTGAATTTTCTTTGTTTTGCACAGCCACCATTAGGAGCCTGACCTCGTCGTCAAGGACGGTGGTGACACCGGCTACTATAAACGTTCAAGTACCCACACTGTCGTGGCTGTCTATTCAAGGTCTGTCGCTTATTGACATGTTTCCCGTCCCACACGGCCACGTATCGTCGACACCAGTGCGCGGCACTTGACCTTTGGCCCAGACATGGTCCTTGGTCTTGGTAAATGGACGTATGACAGCGAGCCGTCGTCGCCGACTGCTAGAGTATCGGCCGATGTTGGGATCGGTGACAATGCTCCAGGCGGCTCGGACAGACTCGGGCAAGGTCGCAGCCATCACCGTCGCACAGCGTCCTCCAATGACGCGACACCCCGACCCCGGGCCGCCTTACCCCGCACTGGGCAGCTCCCCGGTTTGTCTCGCTCCATCCATCTTCACCATTCCCCTCCGCGGCGCGGCTCGTTCCTAGACCCAATGTGCTGATATGATTGCCTAGATTTTGATCCTGCAGCGTCGCTTGGACGTCATAACACCCACATCCTCACCGAGTCGGACCCCGTTTTGTCCAGTTCGTCGCACCAGCCATCGTATCAGCAGACCCCAAGGTGTCTTGGCTTCTTTCCTTCGAACACCGCCACTCACAGCAAAACATCGCCATCACGGGCGCATTTTATCTCCCATCTTGATCCAAGAGCGCAGCCTCATCTTCATTCTCGATCGGAAATAACTGCGCACAAGGATACATCATTACCAAAGATGACCTCTGCTGCTTCATCGAGCGCTGTGAACAAAGTCCACGTATCGCCGTCCAAGGTGAGTTCAGGCGGAGTTAACACGCTTTCCGTCATACCACCTCGACCACTCACCACCGCCCCGCAGCCCTCGACACGAACCTACGACGCCAAGGCAGTCACTCGGGAGATGCATCGACTAGGCACGCTCGCAGGCCTCAATCCCGCTAGCTCGATTTCACTTGCGTCCAACGCATCGGCATCGACGGTAACGTTGGCGCCGTCCGCCTCGCCTTCGACGGTCACGCTTGTGCCTTGTGCATCGCATAACCATGGGGTAAATGCCCTGAGCGGTGCAACAGCGTCTGATAAAGACAATCCCTGGGGCACGCTGCATGTGCATGTTCTGCCCTTGTTCAACGAGGAGCCATTACGTGTACCGATGTGAGCTTCTGCACTGGGTTCCTTGCCTGTCACGCTGACAGCTCCAAGAGAGGACCTGAACGCTCTCGTAAGACGCCATATTCAAACAGTCTTGGCTGCGTCGCCGTCAAAGGCTTTGACGACATTGGCGACGGATGCACGAGAACTGATCGGGGCAGGAATAGTCACCATAAACGCGAAAATGGCTTCATTGTCAGACGAACTACTGCCCAGTCGCTTAGTTGAACTATGGTCCTTTTTCTGGGACCATATACTGCCATATATTGAAGGAGTGAGTGTAATGAACTGGTCATCGTATCGCTCGACCAATATTACTTTTAATCTAGGTTCTGCTGCCACTACAAACTGACCCATTACTGACGTCACTGCACCGCACAGCGAAACAACACCGCACTAGCTCACCGACACGTCAAGGTCCCAATGCTGGACCGACCGTTGGATCGCACGCAGCCTTTTCGCCCACCATCGATGTTCGGAGTGTCGCGCTCTGTGCATTCCGCGACCGTGTTGTTGTACCCCTACATAGCCGGCTGCATAGTCTACTCTCACCAACGCAATGTAAGGAAACCCTCGTCAGGTTGGGCTCGTACCGTCAGCCAAGGCTACAACAAATGTGTGTACCTTCCCCCTCATGACAAGGCTGCGTTCTGAGCGAAGCAGGTTACTCGTACTCACGTCCGAGCGACGCGTGCGTCCGCCTTCACCAACCCTTTCTCTTCGCGCGCCAGACGTCGAACCGAGCGCGGGCGAAGCAGCAGTTGCAGACCTCCTCCGGCTTTTCTCGCAAACGCAGCATCACGCCCGAGCACACACCGCTCATCATAACCCACGCCAATCGTACACACGAGGACTGATGGTGCGTGCTTCCACGCCAAGCTTTCTGTCTGCCGGCCTTCCACGAGACCGTCGGGGCCGCATTGGAGGGCACGACATGAAACGGATGATTCTGAGTGCGGGTGGGTGGCCCGTGGGAGGGAATGTGCCGGGGGACGATGCCGACGCCGACGCGGAAGACGAGGGAGGGAACGAGGGCAACGAGACACCGCGCGTGGGCACGATGGAGTATCGTGACCGGAAAGCCCCACCTGCGCGACCAGGACTACAACACGCGCAAACGGGAGGATGGGGACTGGGCGCTGGGAACGAGGAAAAGGAGGTCGACGACGACGACGACGAGGCGATGAATTGGGATCAGGCTCAGGTGAGGCTCCTTTTTTTTTTCTCTGGCGGCTGCGCTGTATTCATGATGCTGCAGGCGGCTGTGGAACGGATGATTGGCATGAAACCCGAGTCGCCTACGGAAATGCGTAGACGTGTAGGTTGATTGTGTTGTAATGCATGATTGTTTGAGCTGCACGTGATCAAGTAAAATGACGTCATCGAACCTCCTATTTGAAGCGGGCGTATATAAGAGGACACCTCCTTTCGTTCCCTCCTTCATCGTCCACAATGTCTGGTGCGTACCCGATGTCTTGGGGTGCTCTCTTCTTACGCGGCTTCACGAGCAGAGCACACAAAAGAGCCGTCCCGCGTTGCAGCAGGCCTCAAGGCTGCCATGCACAACCCAAACGTCTCTGAGGTAGGCCAGAGAGCGCGCCGCGGAGAGGCTCAAGGAGATGGAGAGAGACGCGGAGGCCGCTTCGGAGGAGCCTCAACACCCTATTACCGAAGAATCCACGCGGGTGCTCGCTGGCTACAAGGCCACGCTGAGCAGTGAGTGTCATTCCCAGTCCCTTTTTTGGTTTGGCGGTCCCAGTAACGTTTCTTTCCTTCTTCTTTTTCAATCCAGACCCGCACACCTCAGCAGAGGCCAAGGCGCACGCTGAAGAAGTGCTCCAGGCGGCTGGCATTCTTGAGAGACAGCCTGGGCACAGTGACGAAGAGCACCAGACGCGTGTGCTTGGGGGTTACAAGGCTTCCCTTCACAGTATGTCGTGGACGCTCTGCACCACCTTTTTTTCTGAACCATGCCATCGGTAGATCCCCGCGTGTCTGAAGAAGCAAAGGAACATGCACGAGAGTATTTGAAAGCGTATGGCATCGATGCGTGAACGAGTTTTCCACACGACTTTTTTTTTTGCAGACCGTATAGTGTATTTCTAGTATCGGTGTATAATCGAGATCCATTCGTGGGTATCCATGTCGCTAGTTACATTACTCGTACTTGGAAACCTCCCCTAATCTGTCCAACACCTTTTCCACTCTGCTTTCCAGGCTGTTCACGTTGCCAGCAACCGTACTGCGATTTACTTCCAAGCTGGCCTCGACGTTTGCAACCGCGCCATTGAGGGCTTCGAGTGCTTCTCTCGTCCGTCTCTGTTCCTCTTCGAGAGCTGCCATCGTGCTTTGGAACTCGGAGGCAGACCCATGCAGGGCCGAGAGCGTCCTCAACCGTGTAAGAATATGAGGGATGTGGGGCAACGATGGCGCAAGGCGCGAGAGCATGGGGAGGACAGCATCCTGAGCAGGCGTAAGCACGGTCACCGTCCCAGTACCACCCCCGCTCGCCCCTCCACCTCCAGCCTGTTGGCGCTTTTGTGTCTGACTGGCCGATACGCGCTCCAAATCCGAGAGAAGCAGCTTGAGTCGCCTCGAGACAGAGTCAATGTGTCGCGGTTGCGTCAGCAGCGTGAGCTGGTTATTGAGCCGCAAGAGCATTGGCAACAGCGGCAGCGTGAGCGGCGTCGTCTATAAAACGTTCAGTCCCAAGGCCTAGACACGAGCCCCAAACGTCGCGCTCACCTCGTCCAACGTCGCGCTCACAGACCCGACCAGCTTCTCCAGCTCCCCGACCCGCTTATCCATCTCGACGATACGTCTCGCTTCCGGGACAGTCCCCACCCTTTCCCGCCACGTCCACACGCACACGTTCTTCGCGATCGTGTTCGTCGCGATCGTCCCTGCCCCCGTCGTCACTCTCCCCAACGACGACGCCGACCAAGCGACCCCTTCCCTCCCTCTCCCGCCTCACCATCTCCAACCGCCGCCTCACGTCCACCAATCCGCGGATCATCTCCCCCGGATCGACGCCCTCCCCGTCTTTTTCGCGCGCTTGCAACGCCGGGTTGGATGGATCCTCGAGCTCTGCTTCGAGCGCTGCGAGGTCGGCTTGGAGGGCGCGTAGACGCGCGGGGAGGGGCAGCCTGCGTGTGGGCGAACGGGAGGACGAGCGGGAGCGCTCGGAAGAGGACGAGGACGAGGGCGGGTACACGTAACGCGTACGCTGGCGACCTGTGTGGCCATCATCCCATCAGGACAAGAAGATACAAGCAAGCAAGCACGACGGATGAGCGTTTTCGGTTGGAAAAGAAAAGACGAGAGGATGGGTTGCGGGGGGGGGGACGTACGGGCGCGCTCGGCTTTGCGAAAGTGTTTGCTGGCTTCTTCGGGGCTGATCAGGTTGCTCACGTCGAGCTCTTCGCGGCTCGTCGCCGTGTCGTTCGCGGCAGCCCTCGCCCGGGTACGTGCGGCAGAGGGTTCATCGTCGCTAGAGTCCCCACCCTGTGTGAGATATCAGCAACGCGTTGACGCTGTGGAATGGAGAAACGCACGTCCTCGCGAGACGATTGAAAGACGTCCTCTGTTTCGTAGACGTCCGGCGCGGTGTCCTTGGGTTGGAAGAGATCAGCTGCGGGCTGGCACAAAGGACATGGTACGAACGATATCGGGGAGGTTGGCATATTTGTTCGTGCTCATGATCGGTCAGGTCAATGAGATGGCACGATGTAAATTTGATTGCGCACTGGACAAAATGTTTTCAGACGGAGCAAAAAAGCGTCACCTGAGCGATTCGAACACTCGCGGTCAAAGACCAACCGCTTTGCTGTATAGCAGGCGATCCCGTTAACCACTCCGGCAAAGTGACCATGCCGACATTGTAGACAATTTAAATGACAATCTCAAGGTGACATAGGCTCCAGGTCTAAGCAACGAAATAATACAGCTTCCATAGCCATCCGTACCGACCCTGTAAATTCTTCTTTATCTCTTCATCATCAAGCTCGTCATCGGAATCTTCTACGTGCTCGTCCTTGTACAGGTCGACGGTATAAATGTCAACGATGTCCAACATGCTCGTACGTCCTGTTGCGTGATCGCGAGAGTCGGTGGGGATCAGAGGTGTCAGTTCATCGGCAGACTCCAAGGGACGATCACCTGAGGCAGCCGCGTCTTGTTTGGCTGCAGGTATATTCTTGACGAGTGCCCAGGCGATGTACATGATGATCATGAAGGGTATCTCGATGTAAAACGATATGAAATCGACAGTGGAGAACTTTGGGAAAATGGAGGACCAGCCTTGGACTGTGGAGATAGGGTTAGACTGGACCATGGAATGGGAGACGACTTACTGAGGATCAACGCCGCCACGGTGATGGTCTACAATGAATGAGTGTGTGTCAGAGGTTCAGGGTGGTGCGACGTACGACGAAATAGGGACCCCAAGGCCAAGTCCAGCGAACGTAAAACTTGAGCTCGTCCACGGAGCGGTTCTGGGCAATCCAGGCCATTCTGAATCGCCAGCTGGCGAGACCGATGGAGAGCCAAGCAATCTGGAAGCGGTGAGGATGAATAGGATGGACAAGGTTGAACTTACTTGGTTGGAGACACCGACGATGTTCTGTAGCCAAGCCCAAAGCTGACCACTGCCGATGAAGCTACTTGCAAAGCACAAGATGCTGATGCTACTGGTGGCTAGCAGAGCAAATATGGGAACACCGGCGGACGTGGTCTTTGAGAAAATGGCAGGTGCTTGTCTGCGAGGAGAGACGACGGAGAGGCCATAGAGAACGCGAGTACCGGCAAAGAGAGCATGATTGCCGGCGGAAAAGACGGAAGTGAGGATGACGGTGTTCATAAAGGAAGCGGCGACGGCTGATGGAGATCAGAGGGGAAGAGCGCAAGGGTGAGAGGGGACGTACTTGAACCGGCCAACTGGAATACGATGGTGAACGGGGATGTGGTGGTGGACTTGTTTGAGAGGTTTGGGTAATCCCACGGGACTGCCAAAAGTATGAGCCGAGGATGGGATGCGGAGCAGGACCAACGGACCGTTGAGACCGATGAGGAGAATGCTCAGGATATAAAACAGGAGGATTCTGGAGGGGGTGTAAAGAGGAGAGGGATGGGGGAGATGCTAGACTTGCCGCCAGAAGACGAATTTGACGACTTTGGGCATGTTTCTGGACGGGTTTCTTGTCTCGCCGGCGGTGATGCCGAGACTTTCTGTTCCACCAACTGCAACGGGGTGAGCGAGGGAGGGAGAGGGGAGGAGAGGACGTGCATGCAAAGCTGGCTGTGACAAAGACGTTTGCAAAGCCAGAGAAGCCATTGACAAAGGGTGCGCCGGGAATGGACCAATTATGAGCGCCGATGTACGTGTGCTGTGTGTTTACGCCGACATTGACTAGAATGCCGACGACGATGAAGACGACGATGGTGACGACCTTGAGGAAAGCGAGCCAGTATTCTGAGAGGAGGTGAGAAGTGCAGGGGGAAGAGGGAGGGAGATACCTAGTTCGCCGTACGCGCGCACGTGGATGGCGTTGATGGAGACGAGGATGACCCAGGCGAGGAGACTGATGACCCAGGGATGCCAGGAAGTCCAGTACTGGAGGACGAGCTGCGCGGCAGTGAGGTCGGAGGCGACGGACACGGCGTCGTTGAACCAATAGTTCCAGGAGAGGGCGAAACCGTACGAGGGGGAGAAGAAGCGGGTTGTGTACGCGTTGAAGGAGCCTGGGCGGGGTGAGGGGAGGAAGAGGGGAGGGACGGGGACGCACCTGCGACGGGGTACTGGGTGGCCATTTCGCCGAGGAGGAGGAGGGTGATGTAGACGACGGCGCCGATGATGGCATAGCAGATGAGGAGGCTGGCGGGGCCGCCTTGTGCGAGCGACTTGCCCGTGCCGAGGAAGAGACCGGTCCCGATGGTGCCAGCGACGGCAATCATCTGGACCTGGCGCGCGGAGAGGCCACGGTGGAGGCCAGCCATGGGTGCGGCGACTGGTCGAGGGGCAGTTATATAGTGCTCCGATGGTGCCATTTTGCACCAACATGAGGAAGCCCGGGATGTCGAGCTCCGAACTCAGAGCCATGTACTGTAAATAAGAGATCGCTTAGCTTATCTCTGCTCCTGCCATGACGACGCTCGTCGACTTTGCGTCGGCCACGCCCGCCCCGCTGACGCTGCACCTTGTTCCGCTCGCGCCGCTCATCCACCACGCCCGCCACCTTGCCGACGTGCTCTCCTGGTCCGCGCCCTGGGAAGAGTCCGCGCTCCTCCTCGCACTCTGGTGGTCTCTCTGTCTCTTTTCCGAGCTCACCCTCAAGTATGTCCCCCCTCTCCCCCTTGCCCATCCTTACCCCCTTCCAGAGTCTTTCTCCCTCTCGCCGTCCTCTTCGTCCTTGCCCTCCGACACTGGTCCGACCCCGCCGTCCCGCCCCCGCCCCAGCCCGTCACAGAGTCCGTCATACATGCCCTCGTCGACGACCTCGCTGCCATACACGCCCTCCTCCCCGACAACCCCATCCCGCCACCCTCCATGACCCTCGTCCGCATCGCCGCCTTTCTCTACCTCCCCTATCTCGCCCTCACCTACCTCGTCCCCCTCCCCATCTGCATCGCCACAGCCGGCACCTTCCTCCTCGTCCACCGCGCCCGCTGGGCCCGCAACGCACGTGCCGCCCTCACTCGCAGCGCACACCTTCGCTGGGGGTTCTACCACCTCTATGCCCTCCTCGCCGGCACGCCACTCCCCGCGGAAACCACTCCCACCCCCCCTCCCGAATACGCTTCCCGCCCCGCGTCCGGCGCTACAGAGTACACCAACGCACCGTCCCAGCCAGACGACCCATCCGCACCGTCCCCATCCCCGCCCCTCCGCTTCCTCTTCACCGTGTACGAGAACCAGCGCTGGTGGGTCGGCCTCGACTGGACAGCCGCTCTCCTCCCCGGCGAGCGCCCGTCTTGGTGCAGCGCCTCACAAATGCCCCTCCCCCCACCTTCCACCTTTTCCCTTCCCTCCCCCACCACCTCCTTTGTCCCCGTCGGAAAACATGGCAGAGCAAAGCGCATGGCCAGGTGGACCTGGGAAGAACCTGAATGGCGTGTCGTCGTCAGAAAGGAGGGCCACGACGGCCTGTGGAGAATCGAAAAGACTCCCCCAAAGGACAAGGACACCCCAGAGGACACTGGCACTGCCGCCCGCATGTTGCGTGCCGCCAGAGGAAGGGACTCGTCCGGCAGCGCTTCCAGCGAGTCCCCAGAACGTGTCAAGAAACTCCCTCCCGACCAGCACCTTCCTGATCCATCCATCCTCCCAGCCCACGAGGACGACATCGTCACAGACCCCGAGGGATGGGTCTATGGCGGCAACAAGTGGGAGGCTCCAAGCTCCAAGGGCGGCATGGGCAAGTACACAAGGTACCGTCGCTGGACCCGCATCGCCATCCTCACTGAAACCGTCGAGCTCGTCGGTCCCGGAGAGTTTGGAGTCCTCCGCAACTCGGGCGCGTTCAGCACGTTCAGCACTTCCACCGCCGGAAACACTTCTTCCATGGTCACCGCTGGCGTTGCATCCCCTACCGCTTCCACTTTCTCAGACTGGGAGAGCACCGGTTCTGCGACAGAGCAGCAGAAAGATCAAAGGGAGGCTACCGTCACGAGGGGTATGCTCAGACAACGATTGAAGTCTGTCATGGATGGATCTGGTCACTGATGTTTGTTCCCGTGTTGTATCATGTACTATCATCTTTCGCTTCGTTGCGTGCCTAGGAATGTCTAATGCGGGTTCTCATGTTTGCCTCCACACCTTGACTGTTCCATCCGCACTTGCAGTAACCATTTCCCCCGCCTCGCTCGGATGATGTTCCGTCCATGTGATCACCTTGTTGTGGACCTTAGGTGGAGGATTCGGCTGCAGAACCGCCGCCTACGCATGATATCAGTCGCCTGATCCAACGCCAGCACACCATCACCACCTACGTCGACCAAATCCCAAGCCCACACCTGTCCGTTTTCATCACCGCACACGACGCTCGCTTCTTCGTGCCCAAAACAAGCGCGACACCGGTAGGACATGTGTGCATGCCCCGTAAACGCATTCAACAGTTTCCCCGTCACCGCATCGAACAACCGCACGTGCGAGTCGAGGGTGGCAACCAAGAGCGTCGTCGCGTCCGCAGACTGGCACGACCGACGTGACGGGCTCTGAAAAGTGTGTGAATATGCAACGCGAGCCCGAGGGAGAGGAGACTCACGTCCGACAAAGTCTGCGCGGAGCTCGCCCATGCGGAGGTCGTACGTGCGTATGTATCCGTCTACGGAACCGGCGATGATGGTCGTCGCGTCGACGTGGAGGGCCTGCACCGCATCGCGGGCTTCCTCCAGCACCTGGATCGGCGCGCGGGACTGGGATCTACGCGCACGCGTGCAAAGTGGCGAACGAAGCGAGAGGGGGGGTCACGTACCGTAGGTCCCACAGTCTGACCGTCGCATCGTACGACCCTGTTGCGAGCAAACGCTGTGAGAGAGGCCGGGTGCGATAAAAAGAGTGGAACGCACCGCTCGCGAGCACGCTGGCGTCCGCATTGAACTCGACGGCGTGCACTTTGCCCATGTGGCCCGCCAGTCGGCGTGTCGTCACCGCCTTTGCGACGTCCCAGACAAAGACGGACCTGTCTCCGCCAGGAGGACGCAAACGTGGCATTGTCGTGGCTCCTGGACGGCGTCAAGTCAAAACGATGACGGGGGTGTGGCCTGGGCGTACACGGATATGGAGAGGACTTCGTATCCGTGCGCCTCGAAGGATTTGATCTGGGTGCCCGAGTCGGGATTCCAGAGGCGCACGGTGCGGTCTTGGCCACC